GATCAAAAGTGGCCTCCCCCCCCCCCCCCCGCCCCAGGTAAATTTGCAGTGACCCAGCCAGTGAGCTCTCTGCTGGAGAAAGTCAGAACTGCTTACATGGGAGCCACAGACACTACAGAGAACCAAGCTGCAAGTTACCCAAAAGCTCAAACACCACGTACCGGATTTCCAAGTAAGAACGCCCCCATGAAAAGTTTCACGACAGTGAATATGGTACTTTGGACCAATACAGCATCGAGAGATGGGAAAATTATGGCTTCTAAGTAACCATTCAGCCACCTTGTACCTGCATTATTTTGTCCAATTGTTTCTGATTTTCCACAACCATGACATTGGTTTTGCTGTCATGAGCAATGTAGTGGCAGGCCTCTGGAGAATTCGTTGTATATATTCCTGTGACAATTCCTCTGTATCAAAAATGTATATAAATATGTATATAAGAACATATATTTACATATATACACACACATACATGCACTTCTAAAAGAGAGTAATAATCAAAGATCAGTTGAAAGCTGAAAAGGGTATGACGATGTGTAAGTAAGCAGCACAGCTGTCATGTTTGTGTCAAGTATTCAGATATATATGGATATCCCTGATATATGCACACTGCAAAAACTAATCTCTGAACTCTATTCAGTAGAAGATGCTGTAGGCTAAGATTCAGCTTTTTAAGCCACTTGAGGCTACACAAGAGTTAGCTCAGGAAGTGGTAAAAAAACTCGCTTACACCCTCCTTCTGTTCAAGCTGCATATAGATACCAATTTGAATTTCCCTGGCGCAGAAACAGCTTAAGAGGTAAAATCCAAATTGTATAAACAGGTATGAGGACAAAAGGAATCATGCTAGCTAGTATTTATCTGTCATTTCATCTGCTTGGACATATCTTGCTGTAGACAAATATCATGAATATAAAACAGTGTCTCACCTGTTTCCCATATCTTCTAGTGATAAAATACTGTACAATAGCTTCTGTGTGACTGTCACAGTTAGTAGCAAACAGGATCACTTTATGAGTGTCTGAACTATTCTGGATATCCTGAAAGCTATGAGACTCCAAGATATGACACCAAATACTGATTTGCTGCATTTCCGGACCTAGCAAAACAGAAATCCCCAAATTCCCCACAAAATCAGCCAAACGAAAATCTTACCCAGCAAAAACAGCTCCAACAGCTGAGATGAACCATTCTGGAGAATTAAATCCAAGGATTGCTACACTGTGGAATCGTTCAAGACCAAGCTTAAAAATAGTAAGCATAAGGTTATATAATATAGGCACACTGGAGAGAAACATATAGCACGAAACATACATACAAATATGAACCACGGAAAGTTTTATTTATTTATTATTTCAGTATTGACAAGACATGTCCACACACATCTCTATGTTGGTATCCATAGCAAAGCCAGTATTTATAAGCAATTAACATGATCTAAACTTTCCACTACCTTCTCCTGTTTGGTTGAGCTCTGCTGTCCAGAAAGGCCCAAAATCCAAAACTTTTCTATATGAACAAGAGCGTAATGACTAATAATCTTACCCTATGTATAAAATGTTTTAAAATTTGTTTTTATCTCGCCAAATTCATGACAGTGCTGCTTTCACTTATTTTTCTTTTTTTAATCTTGAGGCCTTATGCTGAGCTTTGTACCCATGCCCCAGTGTGACAGCATAATACAGCAGCTCTTCGCTTGCAGTCACGTTCACTAACAGCCGTGTTACCTCTGACCAAAACCAATTTTCATCATTTTTATTTCAATAAAGAATATGACTGCTGACCTTCAATTAATGGGAAAAGCACCTTATATTGTGTGTGTGTGTGGGGGGGGGGTGTTTGGTTGTTTGTTTCTTCATTTTTGTTTGTTTGTTTAAGGAGACAAAGAGAGAATAAGGAATTGGTGTTGTTTCCTGTACCTACCTTCAAGAAGCTCTTGGCTGCTTTCCTGGAGAGGTAATAATACTCTGAAAAGGTTATCTTCTCCCAGTTTCCATTCTTTTTGCTGGCCAAAGCATTAAGGGATCCATATTTTTCTAGGCTCTCCTTGAACATCTGATGAACTGTTATGGGAGTCTGCGGACATGAGTTATCTATTCTCAGTCTGACTCCGCCATCAGCAAAGGAAGTCCACAGAGACTCTGCAAAGTGAAGCGTTATCATCAAGGTATTGTATCATTGAAAAATACCTTGTGGCTCTGTAGCAAAAGGCAAGAGGATTGAATAAAGACCGCAGGACTAAGCACAACTCTGCTACTTCCGACCTTTTGAGAGAAGGGCTTTCCAATTTTATAACTAGCAAATAGTCCATGTAGAAAGAGGAATCTTTGTTTCTCACACTTTGTTCCATCTCTTGAATAGAAGTGTCACCATACAGAATTATGCTCATCTTCTGTGTGTTACAGGCATACCACTAATTCTAGAAGAATCTGTTTGCCCATGTCAGCCCTGCACGACCCACTATCCCGTGAGCTAATGGAGTAGCTGGTGAATCAGGCTACAGAGATCTGAAAGATTTGAAACCTCTGTCCCTGTTCAGCATCCAAGCTCCTTTTGCTTGTCATAGCTCTTTCTGCCCTCCTTCCCCCCGCAGCTATTCTCCTTCGTTCCTGCCCCTGTTCGCGCCCACTTCCCAGAGGTTTTTTCCCCTCTGTCATCTGCCCGGTGTTCTAGTATGTATATCCACTCCACGCACTCCTGTCTTGCCCTATTTCCACATCATCTTTCACCTTCTGCTTTTGCCTTCTGCACCATGTCTTTCTACCATCCACTTTTTTCCCCACCCTGTATTTTTCCTCCCCTTCCTTGACAGGACACAGACACAGAGCACCAACTAATGTCACTTGGCTCTCACCACTGGTGCCAAGGACCGGGGCAGTCCCTGGCATTCACAAGAAACAACTGTCTTAAAGATTCTACTTGGCTTTTGCAAACCCAGCAAGAAGCAGGCTGAGTATAAATACACTCCTTAGAGAATCTAAGGGCTTAGGAAGTTGGCAAAATTTAAGTGAATTCTCATACGGAAGACAAAAAAACCACTCACGACTGCCCTACCAAACAGTTAGTTCCTATACTTCTGAACAAAATAGTACAAGAACATTTTAAGAACAACATTTTTTTTTCTTAGATTTACTTTCATAAACGAAAAAATATTTTTAGCATAAGCATAAAAAACATATATTCTACAGAGAGCTGGTGGGAAAATTTGGCTTACGTTTGTCATGATTCAGAGTAACAGAAAATATGACTTTTTGAAGTTTCTGATACAAGTTAATATGCACGATTGTCTTTTAGCACACTTATGGAACGCAAAACCTGTACAGAAAGCTCAGTCAGTATTTATACTGTTTCCTGGTACCTCAGTGGCTGAAAAAAAGCAGCTCTACAGTGTTCAAAAGTACAACACGCTTCACATCCCTCTGAAATGCTGCTCCTCTAATTGCCTCGCCAAGAGCTTGGAAACTATCTCTCTGAGCATTTCTGGCAATATATGAACACATCAACCATAGCTGGATCCACAGGAGCTCTTCAGAACACACTTGCAGCCTCCCTCAAGTCAGGCTTGCAACCTGCACAGGTAACCAGAGGCACAGCAAGCTATTGTAACCTCAAATGTACATTAAAACAACCAAACATCACAAAACCGACTTTCTCTTGCATTAAAAAAAAAGTTTAATTACTTAGCTGTTTAGAACAGCTCACTCATTATCAGCTGTTAAAGTTCAACTAGTAAACTGAAAGATACCAAACACAGTCTAGTTTGCTGACAGTATTCTGTGAAACTATTTCTGAAGATTTCACTGGCCCATGCTATATCCTAGCATGCACAGAGCATTGGGGGGATGGAATTAAGAAAATTCACCTTTCTACACCCTCCCAGGTAAGGAGGGTAAAACTCTGGTGCAGAAAGTGAACTAAGCAGTCAAAGCTGTGATATATGTCAATCCAGGATTAATGTTCCTGACTCACATTATGTTCCATTCATGTTCCTGACTCACAGTCTTGCGTTTGTTCTCTTGACAAACAGAAAGTAATAATGACAGCAATAAATACAACCAAAGCTGCCTAATCTCCATGTGCCTTCATCGTCTCATGTGTAAACTGCATATAATGATTTTCAAAACATAGGTGTGGAGCTTTGCTTAGGTCAGTGGAAGAAAGGCATCATGAATCCAGACAGTTTAGAAAACAAGTAGCTATGAAGTATTCTAAGTAAGACAGCCTTTATCAAAGTGTAAACAGTGGCACCCAACAAATATTTTACGAGTAGTGAAGGCAAAGCAGGTGTTTCTGCACTTATCCCCAAACCTGGTGTGAAAATGATGACAGATAAGACCTGTCACAGACAGAAGCTAGCATTAATCTAAATGCTACTTTTCTGCAGTGACACACCAAAGCCCCGATGAAAAACCTCTGTATTACATTCCAACTTCTAAACCAGCAAAGATGGCAGGGATTGCAGGTGTGGTTGGGCACAGGTGGGCAACTGCTCTGTTGATAACAAAATTGTACCATACAGAGCTAAAATACAACATTTTAGCCCATGTATTACCAAAAACGCTCTTGAACAAAGAGTATCTCTCTTCAAGGGAACTGAAAATATTAGCAACATTCCTACAATAACATTACAAAAGTTGCATAATTACTACCGTTTCACTGCAGACATACAGCAGGTAACAAAATAGCTTCCAGAGAAAAAGAGTGAAAATCGGTCAAATCATTGCAGTATCTATACACAGAAACCAAAAATGTACTTTGAAACTGGGTCTCCTTTTGCTTTTCCTTATGCAGTTTTTTTCCTGGTGTCAAAAAGGTATCTTTCTTTGATACCAAAGACTAAGAACAGAATCAGTTCCACAGAGTTGCAGAGAATCACCTTAATAACACAATATATATATCACAAAGGAATATAAACTTGAATGCCCATTCAGTGTCTGCTCTTGCATGTATTTGCAGGTAGAACTTAAATAAAAATATTTCCTAAATTTAGATAAGCCAAATAATTCTAAATATCTAATTATTCTGTCCCATAGTATTTGTAAAAACAGCAGAACATGAACAATAAGTTCTGCTGTCACTTTGCAGAGGGATTTTGAGCAGAGGGTTTGTTTTTCTCAGAAAGAGCCTAGGAAGGAATGCCTGGCTAAATACTGAATGAACCAATTATAAACTTCAGGAAAAGCAAAATAGGTGCTCTGCCTCACTAGCATCTGAAAGTTAAACTGCAGCGTCCAGGCTGGAAATGAACTCGGTACTACCTGAAACCAAAGCAGAAATCAAAATAAAGACCCTTTAAATACACTATGAGCATCGGTACATTATACACCCATAGGTTTACAGAGAGCATAAGAAAACATCAAGTCAAATACTTGTAGTACTTTGTACAAAGTACACAGGTCAAAGTCCTTAATGCCACTGAAAAGTTCCCTACATGCAAGCAAAGAAGAATGTTTGCTCCTTTCTTCTTTCTTCCAGAACTGCTGCTACCTGCACTGTATGTTGTACCCAAAATGCTTTTTCATTCACTAATATGTGACCTTGGCTCATGTCCTTCATATGAATTCACTGAAGGTTGGAGATAGTGAGAAAACTCCTAAAGAGAAATCTCCTAAAGAAAACTATTGTGTCAGATAAAACAAAAACTGGCAGAGATTTTATTCAGATAGTTAGTCTTGACTTTCACTTTTTGAGCCTCTTTAAGTGCTTTTCCCCTCCCCCCCCCCCCCCCCCCCCCCCCCTTTTTTTTTCTTTTTCCTCATGTCATTCTCCTCCAAGGACAAATTCTATGATCAGATTAAATTTTCCATGATTCACTGTCTTTGCCGCTGAAGAAAGATGGCTCAGAGTACTCTCATACATATGGTGTATAACAGGATGACTGTACTGCGGTTTGTCTTAGGAATTGCTCTACGGACATCTGATCTAAGTATTTTGGATTGTAGGTATGCAGTTTTTCCAGTAAAGTGTAAATTTTCAACAAGAAACTTTACAGGAGGAAAAAAATTAGTTTTAAAACTTTGTTTCAAACTTTACCTTTTTAAAAACACTTTGAAAGTTTTCAACTGATTTTTACAAACAATACAATCCTAGAATTGTGAACCATTTACATGTGAATACTGATTTACAAAAGTACATTTGTTATTAAAATATTTTCTAGCAAATTTGAAATAATACATGGGATGAACACAATGTTTGTATTTTTATCAGTCAATTGTTATTCCTTTCCACCATTTATGACTTAAAAGTTGTGACACGGTACCAGTTGCCTCTCCCAGCCCAGATACCAAAAATTATTTTAAACAAAGAAATACCAAGTTCATGTACTTTTTTCATATTAAAAATCAGTCTGTCTGCAACTGCTGGACCTCTGGGATGTATGAAGGAGACTGTGTACTAGTTAAAAAAAAAAAAGGAAACACACTAATCCTACAATTTAAATCTAATAAATGAATGAAACCTCTCTGATCAGTACCTGACCTGCAAGTTTTCTGGTGACTGCCAGAATGGACTTGGGAATGTAAATGAATTCTGACATTTATGGAAGAACAACTCTGAGCACCATATAAAATGCAACAGAAGCAAGGTCACCTTTCAAACAGGTAAACAAATAGACAGTCTGATTGTGGAGTGGCCCTGCTGCATGACCTGAGTAACTCCAGGTGATATTCCATAGATGTGCCCTGAGCAGCAGAGACTACAATAATAATTTAACTTCTGCTTGAAACCAATTCAGATTTAAATCACAAAATACTATGTTGATTATATGCCAGTTCCTGCAAAACATCACTCTGCTTTAATGACGAGAGAAGGTATTCAGCTCTTTGCTGGAGGCATTTCTGACTGACAGTCATCATCCCAGATTCCATGGCTATGATGCCACCACATTCTGCTGACAACACAAATACATCATTCCTCTTCTAACCCATTATTTTTAAATTTTCTTCAAGATGTCTGTGGCCCTGAAAGCCTAACTTCTTTTTAGTGAAAGCTGGAGCTGAGTACACAAAGGTTGGAGTCTGAGAGTTTGGCATCTGTGTCGAACTTCCCCTTGTGCCAGTAAACAGATTAAAGAGAAGTGCAGAACTTTTGAATTTCAACTGAACCTGAATGTCAG